CTGTCCCCAAGTCGCGCAGCTTAGGACCTTGTCTTCCTCTGTGCAATCAATGACCGGGCAGAGGGCCATGAAATACTTGCACTTGGCAACGTAGGCCGGGATGCTGTTGATCGCGTCCGCCTGCTTGCTCCCATCGCTTTGGTCTGCTCCAAACGTCGACCGATCTTCCATCTGTGGAATGGAAAATAGTCATACCACAGAAAGACAGAAGAGGATTGAAACTCGTGCAGCTGCAGTGGCTTCGCGCCGGGTACACCCGATTCCGTCGGGATGTCTAGAGGCACGCTCTTGCTTGCCAAGAGCTGCCTCAGCGCCCCCTGCAAGACGCTCATCTGCTTGAACTCAGGATCTGGGTGTCGCTTGGACACCCACTGGTGCGACACCAGCACGGCTCTCTTCGTGTCGCTCTCTTCGAAGACTGTGAGATCTCCCCGAGCCTCGGCAAATCAAGGGTTCCGGGGTGCGGTTTGCAGATTCTGGAGGTACTCTCACGGGACAAAGGCCTCTCATGTCTTTATTTTTGTGAAACTTTTAGGGACGGGCGGACCGGGTCACAGCGAAGTCCTGGCATTTTCGCCGACCCCCTCAAGGTGAAGAGGTGTGTCCCATAGGTGTCTTGCGTTGAGGGACCAATCCAACAAAACGCATGACGCTGTGTCCCGCAGGCGCTTTATGATTCGGGATGCATTCAAAATATTGGTTTGTTTGCATGCATCATACCTTTGCTGCGTATCTGGATGGGTTACTTGAATTTGCTGCGTCCCATACGTGTACCCGCGAAAGCCATGCCTATGCGAGGGCTGATCGAAATTCCTGCGTTGGCAATGGTTTCGTCATGGATTTGTGTTTTCGTTTCGCGGATTTTTCGGGCACCCTTTCGCGGGGCATTTTTCTATATTCCGGATGCTCTTGGGCTACATTATCGCTCGTCTAGTCTTGGCTGTCTCGTGCGTTGTAGCTGAAGAAGAGGACCCAGATACTGCCTATGATGTGGGGCTGCGGGACACAGCTGGAACTTGGTTGAACAGACCAGAAAAAAACTGCTATAATAGTAGCAGTAGCAGTAGCACGAAACACAGTCGCAGCATTAGTTGTGGCAATAGTCGTAATAGTGGGACTAGTGGGGTTGCTGTTGATATCCTCCTGCACCGCTGCTACTTCTGCCTCTTAGGGCCCTTACTGCTGTTTCTACGTCTGCTGCTTCTCCTAAACTGCTACTGCCAGCAGCTTTTGCAACGAAAACTGCAAGAACCTAGCTACAACTACGCCGACGACGACGGCTACTACTACTACT